AAAACCTACATCATTATCTACGCCGACCTCACCAAAGCCCAGGTTCTGGAAAAAATGAATGCTGCTGGAGTGGAGGAGGAGGATTTCAAGATAGTTGCCGCTGCTAGGTACCTGGGGCTGTTCCTTGGTTTCAACAGCGCAGAGGCCTCGTGGGCCCACCCGATTGCTGAATTTCGGAAGAGGATCTACCACGTCAAGAGCTTGAAATTGGGGCTTCTGGCAAGCCTATCGGCCTACAACATGGTTTGTTTCTCCGTGTTGAGTTTCGTCGGCCAGTTCCTGCCCCCGCCTCAAGAGGCCCTCAGGACAGTCCGCGAAGGTCTCCAGTCTCTCACGAACGGCCCGAGGCACGCGTTCCCGCCGCTCGTGCTGCAGCATTTAAAGGAGATTGGTGCGCCGGTTGAGCCGCGACACCTCGAGCTTGAATGTCGAGCTGCTGCTTACAGATTGGCAGTTCGCAGTCCACAGGTTTATCTGGAGCGCTTGGCATGGGAGGAAGCCGAGGCAGATGATGAGCGCGTTCTGGCTCCGAAGTACCGGGCCTGGGTAAATCAGTCTATCTTCATGCATCTCTCGAAAGTCCAAGAAGAGTTAGAGGTCGTACACAGGTGCCCATACGACCATGTAGAATCTAACTTGCAGCGGAAAGTCTACAAGCTATTATACTCGCGGTCGCAGATTCCCTCGATGCCCCAGTTATTACTGCCTAGGCTCCAGCACTTCGACCCCTCAGCCACCATTGCAGATGCCGATCGGATGTTCTTGAATATCAGTACCCTCGCTCGTGACTTGCCCTTCTTCATCACGACTGCTCAGCTCAGAAGTATCTGTAACGGGTGGTGTACTACCCGCAGGTTCAGGCACAATGGGGGAGGGACGGGAAATTGCAGATTTGGATGTATGGCGGTTGGAGGCGATTCTATTCTTCACTATTATGCTTGTCCTGTAGCCGTGAATGCCCTGAAGCAGCTAGTTCCTAGCCTGCCAGCCTGTTTTTCTGATATTCCCCCCCTGCATCGTCTCCTGTTGCACAAAGTCTGTTTCGATAGTCGTCGGCAGTTGCATGCTCTAGGACTCTCTTCTGACCTCCTTCTCACCTCCTTCAATGCCCTGCGCGCGCGGGATCGGATTTCGGCCCCCCAAACCTTTTCCCTAATGGAGGCCAGGTGCAGGGCAGTGGCGAAGACGGACAGCAGCGTCCGCGCCCTCCTGCAGCCGCACGGCGAGGCGGGATGACACGCGGCCCCCCCTTGGAGCGTTCCCTCCCTCTCCTCCTGTCCGTAGCCATTTGGGCTCAGGGCCTGGCTGGTGGGCTGGATCCGCACGGGGCGCTCCGCGAGCGCCAGGCCGCGTCGGGCTCGGGCGCGCGCGGCTGTGCCGATGGGGCGAGGCGGGCGCAGCGTGATCTCCGTCCGCTGCGGGGTCACCGTGGCATCGGCGCCGACGGTGGAAACGGCCGCCGAGCTCATGCTACGGCTCCAGGCAGCAAGCTCGGCGGCCGCCACGGCGGTGCCAGAGAAGGCGACAGCAGCGCGCGCGGATGCGGCAGCGGTGGCGGTGACGCCGCCTGCCCGCCCCGCGCTTGGCGCCCGTGCGCAGACGGTGCTCGGCGCGGCGGCGGAGCTGGTAGCCCTGCTGGGCGGCCCGACGCTGGCCGCAGCGTTGGCCGGGCATCGATCCTGAGGGGAGCGCATGAAAGGGGACCTTGAGCGCAGCTGCAGGTCGCTGGGCGGACCTGGCGCTTTCCTGCGCAACCGACGAGAGGCGGAGGACGTGATGAGCAAGATCCGGGACTGGCTCACGAGCAAGGCCGTCGTCACTGCGCCGTCCGCAGAGCTGCTTGTGCCGCAGGGGGTCGAGCAGCGGATGGTGTCACGTTCGACAGCGACCAGGCCGAGCACGGGGATCATAATTTCGTCACCAGCTCCGACGACGAGCTTGGGATGGAGGCCTCCTCGGACTCGCAGGCGGTCGAGGGCGTGCACGGCGACGGGGCCCACGACGCGAAGCCCATGGAGATCCTAGCGGCCAAGGACCACATTCAGGGCCCCAACGACAAGTGCTTCGACGACAACGTCACGCACGTGGAGGCGCACTGGAGGAAGCCCCCGAACGAGACCCACAACGTGATGCTGGAGTCGAAGACGGTGCCCGCCGCCGAGCAGGTCGTTTCCGAGTTGCAGGAAGTTGGGGACGAGGGCGACGAGGGCCTCAATGCAGATGCCGGCGGGTAAGCCCACCGACAAGCGTGACGAGCTCGAAGACAGCGTCAACCCAATCATGATGAAGTACGGTATCGGGAACTCCCAGCACGGGGACAAGAAGGAGGATAGCGGCGCGGTGCTGCTGGGTGTGGTCCTCACTTCGGCGGCCCAGATGGCGGACGCGATCGTCGATATCGTAGCGGAGCTCGTGAAGCAGCGCTCGACGGAGGGCATCGAGCACGCCACTTTGGCTCCGAGCTGAGTGCTGGCCCATGCGAGTGAGGGCGCTCTGTGGAGCGTGGGCTTGCTGGGTCGGCTCGGAAAACTAACTACTGGTCTTTCGGGCCTGGGGGCGCTTCGGGAACTGCCTCTTGGATCCCCCAGTGCGGGGGGGGCAGGGCCTGCCTGGGCCCCCTGCCCCGCCCTGTCGCCTCGGGTGGTCGAGGCCCTCGTGGGCCGCCGTCTTCCCTGTCTGCCGGCGTGCTGGTCGGTCCTGGCTTCCTCCTCGGAGGCCAGCGACTGCGCAGCGTGCCCTCTCGGGTCCGTCGGGGCTCTCGTCACCGACGCGCCCGTGGGCGCGCGCGCGGGCCTGCTGGCTCCCGCGAGCGCTCGGCGATGCCGAGTGCAGCTTCGGGGCGCGGGGACACGTCACCTCCCGCGCACTTGCGCTCCTCGCTGCCGTCTGGTGCTGCTGCGATGGCGGTGCAGGCTCGCATCCTATACCTCCGGGGCCCTGGCCTGCCTGCCGCGCACCCGCGGCTGCTGCACAGCGTGATAACGGTGCACTGCTTTCTTGAAGTGGTGATCCTTGTGCAGTTCCAGGCGTTCAGCGCTGCGACGCTAGAGTGGCTCCTCGCAGCCGCGGGACCTGCCAAGTGGCGGACCGAGGCCATCGTCATTCGGACCTTCATTCGGAGGTCAAGTTCATTGTGAAGCCCGCTCAGACTGCTAGTGGAGCCCTCGGTGACCATGGTGGTCCCCCTCCTGGTGGCGACGACGATGATGATCACGATGGTGATGATCGGCGCGATGGAGGCCCTGGCGCACGGCGACCACGCCGTGAGCAACCACAGCAGGGAGACCCTCGGGCAGAAGGCAGTGACCCGTGGAGCACAGGCGGCGCGCACCGTGATGGCGGGGGCGGGCCTCTTCTCAAAGCTCCTCGGCGCAACGGTGATGCAGATGGCGCATCGCGTGCTGGACAGTTCCCGTTCATCCCCCAGCTTCCACTCAATATAAGGGAGCCCTATATTTCATCCAGCCCACGTTCCTGATAGTCTGGACCAGGCGGTCGCTGTCTCGGCGGTTGATCCTGCGGCGGGGGCGACGGCAGTCCTCATGGTGTTGGTAGGGCTGCTCCAGGTGACGGCGCTGGTGGCGGAAACACCGAGGTCTTGTTGGCACAGCTTCTCAAGCCCATGAGGGACGCGCAGAAGAGATTCCAGACCACGCTCGAACGGAGCTTCGACTCTCTCGGAGTTTCCTCTGGCGATACTGGTCTGCATGATGATGGCGGTGGCGATTCGCTCCCTGATGAAGTGGGTCACCCTCGAGTGGTGGGGGACATATTTTTTAAGCACGGAGGCTTCGACGGTGACTACGAGGATGACGAGTTCAGGATGCCGCTCGGGGAGGTTTGCCAGCGCCACGATTGGCCAGTGGAGTTGTTCATTGATCGTTTTGCCACTTTCCTTGGCGGTCCCTGGATTGGACGTGTTGGGAGGATCTTGGGGATTCGCGCGGTCGCGGTCTGCCTGGAGGTGTACCCAGATGGCGAGAGGGCGGAGGCGAACCCGATGCTCATCCATGAGTGTGGCAACCTCTCGAGCACACCACAGTGGGACGGCATGATTGTGGAAAAGACAGTGCTTGAGGAGGATCGGGCTGCCTGCATGGCTACATGATCATGTCTGGTGAGGTGGACATGGTTGCAGCGGGTTTGCCCCCCCCCCCCCCCCCCTAAGGGTTTACGGATCGAGATGTACTTCCACTAGGCCGCTGTGCCGCTTGGCGGGCCGCCGGTATGTCGTGGGCGTCGGATTCGGCGCGCTCTTGTTCTTCATGGGACCAGCTCGACTTTAACGCGGAGCGCAGGGGAGGTGCCTTGGGCCCCGCACCAGTGGAGAGAACAGGCGGGCGAAGTTTTCTAAACAAACAATCTTCCTCCTCTCCTCCTCCTCCTCCTCCTTCTCCTCCTCCTCCTCCTCCTCCTTCTCCTCCTCCTTCTCCTCCTCCTCCTCCTCCTCCTCCTCCTCCTCCTCCTCCTCCTCGTGTGTGTGTGTGCGTGCGTGCGTGCGTGCGTGCGTGCGCGAGACGTCCCCTTCCTCGGCGTGTTGCTGCTCCTCCTCCTCGTCCGCTGCGCTGTGACATCTTCACGCTGCATTCTTCCCCTGCAGAGGAGGCCCTCGTCCTCCTCCTCCTCCTCCTCCTTTTCCTCCTCCTCCTCACCCTCCTCCACCTCACCTCCTCCTCCTCCTCCTTCGCGTAATCCCCGCCTCCTCCTCCTCGTCCTCCGCCTCCTCCTCCTTCTCCTTCTCCGCCTCCTCTTCCTCCCCGTCTTACTCCCGTCCTTGACGGGGTCCCAAATGTCAAGTTGATTCTGTCGCGGGGAGTCAGTCGACTCATCCATCCTTCCGCAAGGAGGCTCGCGGGTAACTTGCTCGTGCTCTCATGGCTTGAATCTCTGGAACCTCCTCCCGGTCCTCCTCCCCGTTCCCCCCTCCTTTCCCATCCCACGATCCTCATCATCGTGTTCGCTCTGTGCCCACGGGTGCGCGGCGCTTTCGCCCGCCAAAG